ACAAAATTATGCAGAGACTGGGGCTGACCAAGGCTCTGCCATCTTCAACATGTGGCTTCCCAGGGTGTGCTGGGCATTGGCATCTAAAACGTCCATTTTCTGTTGGCTTTACACACTGGATCTTGGATGCTTTGGAGGTAAGCGATCTCCCTAAAATTTGAATAATCAAAATTTGATTATTCAAATTTTAGGGAGATCGCTTACCTCCAAAGCCAACAGTGCCTACCTTACACAGTTGTGAGGATCTAATGCTATAATGCACGCAAAGTCCTCAACGGTGTTTGGCCACATAACCAGAATCTACAAATACACTTTGTCTGATTGTTATTGTTTTTGAGTTGTGACCAGATGGCTTCACTAGGGGGCGAATCTGTCATTGCCCCCTACAGGAGCATGATTCTCTGTCCTACCCTTGCTTGCATGGGGCTCTGATGTACACGGTCAGTGACTCCACCTCCAAAGAAGGTTGCTAAGTACTGGAGAAGCATCCACTGCCATCCAGGCTCCTCTGATAACAACTATACCCCAGGGAGAAAGAGAGAGAGGGAGAGAGCCCATGAGATCTACTCTGGGAGACACCAAGGGACCCTGTGACCAATGAAGATCGCCATATCCCAGGGCAAGGACCCTGACTCAGACAGCAGATTATGGTCCAGTATTCTCTCTGCTTGAGAGAGACAACTCTTCTAAGTGGCAGAAACAAGGAGCGTCACTCCAGGAGACCCTGGAGCTCTGGCTTTGAGCAACCCCTGTGAATTCTTGCCTCTTCCCTTGTGTCATGCCCCAGTGGCTGACTTCCAATTACAAGTGCATCTTTGTGCCTGGGGCTTTCTCCACACTTTGGAAATCCCTCTGCCCTCACACAGGAGAGCCTGGGAATGTCTGATCATTAACCATTCCCCAAAGCAATGCTCAAAGGGTGTCTGATGGGAGCTGCTGTGTGAAAAGCCCAGTGCCATCTGCATTTGGCTGGGATGATTCTGCTTTTGTCTTCCACACCTGCCCCACCGACCCCTACAGTGAGGGACTGGAATTCCCCACAGTGGTAGCCGGCAGGAGAAGGTATCCTCTATGGGCTGTTTTCCTTTTCCTGTCTCCCCCGCCCACCCCCTACTGGGGTCTCTTCTGTCTCTCAGGCCCACTTCGCTCAGGGCCCCTTTCCTATGAGACCACATTAGGGCAGGTTTCTACTGAAAATTTCACTGAAATAATACAAACAGAAACACAAGGAAGGAAATAAAATTTAACAAAAAGGGGAAGAATCCAATCTCTGGTGTTTTTTACCACCCTAGTCACTGATAAAAACAAGTGCAAAGCTCAGCAAGATTCTTGACCAGTGCAGATAAACTTACTGATGACGAGGGAACCTAGCAATGGCATTTTTTTAAGTGAACCTAAAAAACACAGACTCTTGCCAAAAAGGATTCAAACAAAAACCAAATATTCTCCTGGAAAATTTGCACAGGTTGCTGTTAAGTAAAAATGTTTTTTACCTGTAACAATTTTCCATGCATCCCAAGTATGTATTAAAGATTTAGCTCTCTGTGCTGATACTGGTGGTTCCTGGTGGAAGCTCAGATTAGTATGTGGGACCCTAGGAAGTGTTAAAATCAAACACAAACGGAGACCAGCCTTGAGAATTCCCTGAGCAGCAGAACCAGCGTAGTCATACAAGCAAAGCTGAATTTAGCTTATTTTGCGAGACAAGCAAGGCTCACTTGACCTGGGTCACTTTTTGCTGACACCTCTGAAAATCACAAGCCAAAGTTTTTGTTCCCCCAAAACTGATACAAGGTCACCATTAACCAGTTCCTTTTCATTTAAGAAAATTCTAATATGGCAACCCATCATCTTGAAGAAGCCACAGTCACTGCCTACGTGCGATCTCAGCTTCTTTACAACGGTGTACCTCTGAGCCTCATTCCACATTTTGGGTTGAGTGCTCCCGGTTTGCAAACTGTCTTTTTTTGTGTGTGCGCGATAAACTGTTCCTAATTATCACCTCGGTGATTCACGGGTTTTACTTCCGTTTTGTTGTTGCTGTGTTTCATTGCCTGAACTTTGGACAAAAGATACATGACAACCCCAGCAGCATCACATATAATCAGTTTTATTGCCAGGTAAGAAATTCATATTAATATAGTGAATACATGTTTACAAATAAACATTTTTAGAAAACAAACAAATGTCTTTTTTTTTCCTTCATTGTAGGAAGTATTATTGGTATCATAAACTCTGCAGCTGTTGACAAGTATTAACACAGGTTTACTTGCAGAACATACGGTTACTAAAATATTTGCACATAAAATATGCTCCATTTACACGGAAAACTGGGTGGGGGGGAAGTGAGATGGGGGTGCCAGGCAGAGCCCAAGGCGGATGGAGGCTGAGATGCTCTGGGAGGGCAAAGGGAAGTCAGGCTCTGGTCCCATTGGGTTGGAAGTCAGGGATAGCTGAAGGCAGGAAGTAGAGGCTAGTGTCAGGTTCTGGGAGAGGGAGGGACAGCCTCTTTATTCGGGTTTCTCTCTTCTAAGCTCCCCACTGTAGCCACAGGATTCTTGTCGACACATGGCGGCCACAGATTCATCAGTACCCTGAGTTCCATCCACCCTCCCTGTCCAACCCCTACTGCCCTGGTCCCAGTTCTCAAAGCCAACTGGAAGGTAGCGAGACAGAGAAGGAACGTTCTTGTCCATCATCCTGCCACGTCTTACTGACCACACTGCGACCGTCCTGCCCAAACCCCGTCAACTAACAAAACTCACCAGATGAAACTGACTCAGAAGAGAAGGATCACGGAGGGGAGAAAAAATTTCGGTAGATTCAGAGACCAAGAAAGGTCCATCATCAGCACGGGGAGAAAGGTCAGATGAAGTGAGTTGGGGACGAGAGGCAAGATGAGCTAAAAGGGGAATGAGACTCACAGACCTTTGGAGCTGGAGGGAACCTCACAGAGAAGCAGACCCAGTATTTCCTGAAATAGGCGCTGTGCATCACTAGCAAATGCAAAAATGATTTGTAGTAGCACGAGGATATAGCACTGGTTGACACCGAGTCACGGAGGGGAGTGGGTTCCTTCTCGTTTTGTCAGTCCGATGGAGTCCCTTGGAGTGCTAAGTCTCCTCTGGGTGCTGGTATGTCTTTAACAGCTCTTAACATCTGCTAATCATTTTAATAAAGAAAAAGGGAGAGAGAGGAATGATGGAATGGAACGGGGGGGGGGGGGTGGAGAGAGACAGCGAGACCAAGCACGATCCGGCAAACGCCAGGCTCTAAGTTCAGACCCTTCCACAAGCAACAGTAGCTAGCTAGAACTTAACAACTACTGCTTTGTTGCCTTCGCCCTTATCTTTACACTTTAACTTTCTATTTAGGGTGATTGATACCGCTTTTCTATTCGTAATAGTGAAAGCAAGCTTTCCTTTTAAAAGTTCAAAGTATTAGGAGTGAATCAATTTAGCTACAAATGCTTCCATGGTGACCCAGAGAGATGGCCAAAGCAGGTTTCAGTACGGGGGTAACTCATTTCACCGAAACACTGACCAACGGGGCAGTGCTTACCCCACTCTCGGGAGTGCTGGGATCCCAGCAAAGAGGCTGAGAAAGTGGGCACTCTGTCCCCGTCCCCTCTCCCCCCACCAACCCTGCTTTGTCCAGCGCAGAACCACTTTATAAATGAGGATCTTCTAGTAGTGGCTTCTGTGCATGGTGGCGTTTTAAGAAATGGGCAGAAGTTTTGCTTGATCTAGCCCCATTTCCATACGTTTCAGATGGGAGACTGAGACCCGGAGAGAGAACATGCATTGTCAATGTCCCCAGAGGGGCCGGGAATGAAAAGGAGAATAAGCCCCTGATTTCCTGGCTTCCATAATGTTGGAGGTGAGGCAGGTGAGGCAGAACGCCTCCCTTGGGCATCCCGGGGAACCCTCTGGATCTTCTTGGGCCACCACGTGCAGCTTCTGACACCAGAAGAGGGTCCCAGTCCACTGGTGAAGGCCATTAGGGACTGGTCGAAAACTTCTCACCTGAAATCAAAATCTCCTCTCTCTCTTACTCTCCTTGTTGGGCTTCCATGGAACAAATAGAAGCGTCAGGGAAAAGGTCTTCGTCGGGATGCCCAAGGGCCATGGGCTGTGAGAACGAATCTGAAAACCACCTCAGGGAATTCTGGCTGGGAGAGGAATCCGTGGAAGTATCTGGGGAGGTGGCTGGCTTGGAGGGCCGTGGGAATGACGAGACCCAGAAATGCTTGAGAGGTTTGGGGCGCCGGATGACAGTAGGACCGGGGGTGACAGGGTGGGAGGCAGGGAGTTCTTCGTCTTTCGGTTCCCCTGACATGGTAGCAGCCCCCTCAGAATGTGTGATGCGCGGGCTCACCAACAAGGGGGGGGTGGAGGAGACATCTATTACTGCAGGAAACAGGAGGGAGGGGGGCTAAGAACACAGGTTGCACTTGGGAAACAAGACTGTCATCAAACAGTAACACATTGAAGGCACCACCCACGCGTATGACATTTTCAGTCCAAAGCAGTTGAAATTCGGCAGCGGCGGCGGCAACGGGCTGAGGGGGGTTGGGGAGAGACGGGTAAGAGAGGACTGGTTTCAGTGTCTGTTTCTTGTCTCAGAGGCGAGGTGGGAAATGCGGGGTCCCCTTCTCACCTCTTGTTGACTTTCCAACCGTGAATTTGCTGTTGTTGTTCTGATGTCATTGTTCATTTCCTAAGTCTCGAGGATTCTAGACAAAAACTGATTTGCTGTTTTTGTCTGTTTTGTAGTGGGCTTGTGATCATTTATCTTTTTTTTTTTTTTTTAAAGAAAAAAAAAAAGTTATTTCACACTCTCTGGACCCTCTCTCCCCACCCGGAAAAGCCTACTATCCTTCCCATGTCCGTGGTCATGGTCTTTACGGGACTTCTCTAAAATGCTCTTTCTTTCGCGTCACTGTCGGTGGGTTCTATTTATTTTTTGTGAGTTTGAGTGTGTGTGTGTGTGTGTGTGTGTTTTTTTTTTTTTGCTTCCAACATGGACGATATGAAAAGTACTATAAGTAGAACGGTTGGGGTCCAGTTACTGTCTCACGCTTGTCAAAACTGTGTGTCCATGTCACTACTTCTTGGGATTAGAAAACACTTATGATGTACACGGCTTCCTCCCCAGTGAGTCCTCCTCTTAAACACACTCTCCTCTCATGTCCACTCTCGGGCTCCCCCTGCCCCAACCTGGCTCTTTCATCCCAGAACGGACAGCACATGGTAAATGGCGGATGTGCTCAAATGGGCAATTTCTCTAAGTTGTGCTACTTTCAATTTCTTTTGTCATGGATTTCAGTTTTAAGTCAGGAGGAAAAGAAAAAAAATTAGCCCCACAACGTGCGCATGTGAGTTGGCCACCTCGGGCCTGAAGTCGAAAGAGCCGTGCCTCAGTTTCCCCTTTGCTGTATTGCTGAACACCCCTGCTTCCATCTTGCTCAGCTGCACGCTGACACGTGTTAGGCATGACCCAAGAAAAGCGTGATTTCACGTCACCAGCAGGTTTGTTGTTGGTTGGTGTGGGGAGTCGGGGTGTGGGAGAGCGGGTCGGGGGGGACAGGGAGGGTGTAGGCCGGGGGTATTTTTTGCCTCTCTCAGTTGAGTATGGTCTCCAGGATGCTCCCTGTAGTGAAAGCTCAGACAGTCACTTCTGTTTTGCTGTTGGTGATGAAGTATGGCTGTGGGGGTGGGTAGTGCTGGGTGCGAGTCCCCAAGGGGTCGCTGGAGCCCGAATCGGCGGCGCCAAGCTTGCCCTTGTTACCGTAAGCCTGCCTCCGGAGGGAATGCTCGTTGGGGTCCCAGCCCTTGAAGTTGGTGGTGGAGTTGTAGGCCAGGGGATGTGGGGGCATCTTGTTGGTGCGGGACTTCTGTCCATTCTGCTTGGCAGGGCCGTGCTCAGGGCTGAAGGCCCGTGGCTCATCATCTACTCTTACGGGGTGCAGAGGGAGGTTCCCCTTGGCGGCCAGCTCGGCCAGGTGCCGTCGCTTGGAGGAGAAGTCATCATTGACCTTGTCGGCTGTCCAAGGTGGACGGAGAAGGGGAGGAGAGAGCAGAGAGAGGGAGAGAGAGAGAGGAGAGAGAGAGACAGTTAGGGATTGGCAAGTCAACCTCGGCACAGCATCCAAGTGAGCCAACAGTCCAAACGAGACACACACTAGAAACTCCATCTGGGACAGAAGGAAGGAAGACAGAAGGAAAGAGGGTCAAGTTCTTTTCACAAGCAAGATCAGGACCGGGGAGGAAAGGGCATCCCCAGCGGAAACTCTAGATCCCCCCTCCCCCAAATAAACACTTCTCCACCATAAGGCACCTAGCATTGTACATCCCTGGCTTGGCTTTCTTACAAACCCCCGCTGTAGATTCTTAATTATTAAAATCATGCGCTCGGGGGTGCCTGGGTAGCTCAGTGGGTTAAAACCTCTGCCTTTGGCTCGGGTCATGATCCCAGGGTCCTGGGATGGAGCCCCCGCGCATTGGGCTTTCTGCTCAGCAGGGAGTCTTCTTCCCTCCCTCTCTCTGCCTGCCTCTCTGCCTACTTGTGATCTCTGTCAAATAAATAAATAAAATCTTAAAAAAAAAATAAAATCATGCGTTCGTTCTTGTTAGGGGGAAATACTGAACATCTTGAGAAATATTCATGTCTGTCACCCACCATTCAAGACTGCCGATACCAATATTGGCTGTATCCACTTCTGGTTTTCTCAGTTACTGGAGTTCAATTTGGGATTTCTATTAATGTGTGTGGTTGCTTTTAGCAGTTAAGCAGGCCTGTGTTCAAATCCCAAACCTGCCACCTCCCAGAAGCATGACTTTGGCTACTTAATAAAAGTTAAGAAACTTCTCAGTTTTTATTACCATTGGTTTCTGCATAAGGAGAGTAGTTACAATAAAAAATATATAGAGAGGTATTTTCCCAGAGGGTTGTTCGAAGGGTTAAATGATATGATGCGTGTAAAGTACTTAGGTATTAGCCCCTATCATTGTCATTATCATTATAAATCACTGTTTAATTTCCATATAACATCCTATCAAGCATTTCTCCATGTTGTTATAAATCACTAATAGAAAACATTTTAATGCCTACATAATATTTCATAGGGTAAAACTATTAAAATTAATCACTCCTCCAATCGACGAACAGGCAAGTTTGCCAATATGCTGCTGGCATAAATAAAGGGGAAATGAGAACCTTCAAGACTAGAGCTCTTTTCTTGTTTAGAATTTTGAATTTAGAGTAATCGCAAGAGTATTTTTCTTCATCTACATCCAGTGATGACGAACTATAGCCCTTGGACCAAATCCGGATGCTGCCTATTTCTGTAAATAAAGATTTGCTAGAACACAGCCCTACCTGCTCGCTCACCTACTGCCTCTGGCTGCTTCTGCTCTGCGGTGGTGGACCTGGGTACACATGCCGGAGACCAAGCGGCCCACAAAGCCTGAACTCTTTACTAGCCAGCCTGGAAATGAATGACCTAAAGTGGAATTACTTGGTCAGAGGGTGTAAACCTTATCAAGGTTTTTGATACATATTGCCAACTCCACCAGAAAAGAGTCACACAGATCTCTGTACCATTTCACCACATCGTCTCCAGCACTATGATTCCTTCCTTTCTTCCTTCCTTCCCCCCTTCCTACCTCCCTCCCTTTCTCCTCTCTTTTTTTCTTTCTAATCTTACCCCCTCATTCTCTTCCTCCTTCCTTCCTTCTTTATCCCTCCCTCCCCTTTCCTTCCCTCCTTCCTTTGTCTTTCTTTCCTCATACATTTATTTGATAATTTTAGGAGATTTTTAAATTTTGTTTTCTTAAAATTCTTTTTATCGTAAGCCCTTCTACACTTTTGTTTTTTCAAAGACTTTATTTATTTATTTGACAGAGAGATCACAAGTAGGCAGAGAGGCAGGCAGAGAAGGGTGGGGGGAAGCAGGCTCCCTGCTGAGCAGAGAGCCTGATGCGGGGCTCGATCCCAGGACCCTGAGATCATGACCTGAACTGAAGGCGCAGAGGCTTAACCCACTGAGCCACCCAGGTGCCCCTCCTCTACACTTTTAAAAATTTATTTCTTAGTGGGATGACTGGCTGGCTCAGTTGGTACAGCGTGCGACTCTTGATCTCGGGGTCCTGAGTTTGAGTTCCACATTGGGTGTAGAGATTACTTAGAATAAGTAAGATAGGTAAAATAAAATTACTTTCCTGGCAGTAACCTTTGAACTTACATCCCTTTGGAGAGGATAAATATTTGCTGCTTTTTCATCCATGCTTCCAACTTCCCACATTGTTACACATGTGAATTTCTCTGTATGTGCATTCACAGAAGTGCCATGTTTCTTTTCCCATTTGATTCTTTCAACAACCACAGGAAGGAGGAAGGATGGGGATCTTAACCCCGGCTTGATAGATTAGGAAATTGTCAAGCTCAGGCATATGAAATGATTAACAAAAGTTACCCACAGCTAGTGGCTGAGTCAGGGTGGACCTAAATCCAATAGACATTATGTGATGCTTTTCAAAGGCCATAGAGGAAAAGCTTCAGTTTCCGGACCAAGGGCACAAAAATATGTCCCACTTGCCCCCTCTGTGTCCGTGGCAGACATTACTCATTGATCACAGCACTCTGTCTTGGCAGCTGTGGCCGAGGCTCAGACTCCTCAACATAACACCCCAGGAAGCCACACATTAACCTTCCAGGCTTAATACTGGTTAAGTTGGGTTTCTGCCCGTATTAATGTAAATAGCCCTGGCTCATGTGATCTTTAAAGAGAAAGTCCCCTTCTCCCTAAATTCTAAAGCTGTCTGAAAATACAGAGGGTCAAAAGGAATCCGCTACTAAAGATATGAAGAGCACACGTTCCCAAAAATACCGTGATTGCTTGAAGTGGCATGAGTTAAATTCAAGTCAATGTTAGATGCCCATCCCCTTGCCTTCCAGAAGAAAGTTCTAGGTTTCTAATGCCATGAAGTTTCAACAGAAGCATACCCGGATATTCCCCCTTGGACTCGGGGGGGGACACGAATCCAGTTACCTCCAGGACAGATTCACTGGCATTTCCCAGGTGGCCAAGACTGAACCCATCATCATCATTACAAAGATCTGTTCTCCTTCAGGTCCTTCCTTATCCCTCAAATGTAAACACCAACTTTCTAGTCACTGAAGCCAGAAATATGGTGGCATCCACGGACTCATCCCTCTCTTCTCCCCTCTAGCACAAGTGCTAAATCGCCCAGTCCTTCCAGCTATGCCTACAAAGGCTTCTCTAGCCTATTCCACGTCACCCCCAATTTTGAACATTGGTCCACTTCAGCCTCCAAACAGGCCTCCCTGCCTGGAGTCTCACTCCTCCACCCACTCCATTCTCCACACTGCAGCCAAAGGCATATTTCTAAAATGCAAAACTGACCACGTCCCTCATCTACCAAAACCTCCTCAAGCAATTTGCTCATTCGGTCATTCATCACAGAGGCACGGGCCATGGGTCAGACAGTGGAAATATGAGGAAGAATAGGAGACAGACATGGTCCTTGCCCTCATGGGGTGGACATCTATTAGGCGGGGACAGGTAGGGACCAAATAAGCCCACGGATTACATAACAGTATAACTACGGTAAGTGCTATAAAGAACTATCCGGTCTTGTGAATATTTATATTAGGATCTCTGAGATGGTCTGAGAACCAGATGTTGGAAGCTTTGAAGGCATGAACCTTATCTTTCCATCTGTAGGGCTCTCAATCCTGGCAGGACTTGGGAATCACATGGTGGAGTTTTGAAAGCATTCAGATTCCTGGATTCCTCCCCCAAACAATTCAGTTAGAATCTCTGCAGCTCTGGCCCAGACATAGATTCTTTTTTTTTTTTTTTAAGCACTCCTCCACCCAAGGGATTCTAATGTGCAGCCAGAGCGGAGACTACAGGCACAGACCTGGCAGGTAGCACAATGCCAGCACATAGCTCTTCCGAGAGAACTAAAGGTAAGTGACCTCCGATCTCAGTCCTATTCTCTCCTGCCACCTCATGCCACCTTTGAGGACCTCAAACAAGATCACATCCCACCAGGATAGACTTTTCTCCATGGCATCCATTGTCGATGCCATTTTATACTTGGTAATGCATTCATTCATTCATTCATTACTCTCTATCTCTCTCACTGCTGCCCAACAAGGCAAGGCCAGGTCAGATTCCTGCCCATCACCACATACACAATGTCCAGCATACTTTCTGGCAGATATTAGATAATAAATATTCAGTGAGTGGATGTAAGAGCAAAATATCATGAATACACATAGACTATCAGAGCAATCATAAGAGTGGAAGCTCCCTTCCCCTGTTCTTCCCATGAGTCTGTTATAAAAGTCTCACTCATCCTTATTACGGCCCCAGTCGTGATCCAGAATCATTCATTCTCATGTTCCACTTTCCAGACAATGGACTAGCCTAAGGTCTGGTCAGAGAAAAGGATGTACTCCAGGTTTCCTCTGTCTGACAGACTGAGAACATTGATGACGAAGTAGATGTTCCAACAGCTGGGATAGGTGGCATTTTCTCAAAAAGTTCTAAAGAAAAGAAGTCACAGAGGCATTCAACTCTTGCCAAATCAGTGCAGGGAGAAGGAGAAACCTTCATGAAGAGGAGTCATGAAGGCCCAAACAGCGAATCTACGATCTCCTCCGCAACCGCCCTAACTTGGTCTCTTAGTGAGCCTGGCATTGGGGACACCCTGATCATACAAAGTGTTTGGTACTTGGGGCAAGAGTAGGGTGAACAGAAAACTCTGGGGGCCCTGGAATCAGCCAGACCTGAGCTTCTGAGATCTCAGAAATATCACTTAACCTCTTACAGTTTTATTTCCTTTGGTGTGAAGTGGGGATAACACAAGCTACTTCAGATTTGTTGTGAGGAATAAATTGTACGAGATATATAAGCTACAAAGCACAATTCTGGAATGCACTAACTATTCAATACATATTTTGTCTGTCTCCTGGCTTATGAAAGAACTGGATTGAATCCAATGACATTTATT